CACAGGCAGGAGCTGCCCCACTCACACAGATCCCTGACCTCATTTGTTTTTTTCCTAATAAGGATATGCACACACCTCCCAGGACTGTCATTGCTATGACAACGGCAGAAGTTGAGGTTGAACAGGTTAGTGGAACAGCATGCTTTCTAAATTCTCCAACAAGGCCTGAGGCTGCACTCACTCATGAAATGGAAAAATTCATGTTGACAGTGCTCCTAAATAGATTCCGAAAAACTTAAGGATCATGCTTTCTTTCTGGGGAAGGACCAGAGATGGAGTCTCCATGGAGTCTTTCTATGGGGAGTTGGTTTTGTCAGAGAGGTAAGAATCCTTGAGACAATTAAGATTATAAATCCCCATATAAAACTAGGGCACATCAACTGTGTCCATTTTCCACAGAGTAAAGAGATGTGGCAAATCAGGGCAAAAGCAATCCCCTAAGGAAACAAAGAGACAGGCACTTAAAAAAATCTTCTCTATAGCAGATTCTTCCCACAGAGAATACTCAGAACAACCTGGGTCTAAATTTTGAAGCTGAAGGATAGACTCATACCTTGAAAAATCATTTAAAAATAGCTACTGTTTACTAAACCCTTATTGTTCTTCAGATTCTGCAATGTATGTGCATTATCTCATCTCATTTTTGCAAGAACCCTATAAGGTACACACCACTATTCTCCCCATTTTATAGAGAAAGAAACTGAGAATCAGGAAAGTTAAGTAATGTTCCCAGGAACATACAATTACTGAGTGGCAGAGGTAGAATTCAGAAAGGGTCACTGACTCCCAAGCTTGAGCTCTTAACAATTATCTCTCGGGCATGGGAAAAGGCCCCCTTCTTCTCACAAGAACCATAAACAGATGGCTTCTGTGCATGGATTCTCAGCCTGTAATGATATAAGACAACCTCAGGAATATTGACCTTAGAGCAGTTCTTAAACTTTAGAGTAGATTGGTATCACATGGAAGGCTTTTTAAAACATAGACTGCTGGGTCCTATTCCTGAGAATGCCTTTCTTTCTTTTTTTCTTTTT